CTAGTCAGGGAGGGCCTCTTAGCTGAGTCCCAAAGGATGAGAAGGAGATAAGCATGCAAGGGTCTAGGGGAAAAGCAGTCCAGATAGAGAGAACAAGTGCAAATGCCATGATGCAGGAAGAGCTTGTTTCAAGAACTGGAGGTAAGATCTGGGTAGTAAGAAGGAGAGCAGGACTAGAGGAGACTGGCAGGCAGGCTGGGCCACAGAACAATGTGGAGTTTGGCCTCTGAAAGCAAAGGCAAGTATCTGGAGGGTTTTAAGCAGGGAAATGTGCTCTATTTCACTCTGCTACTGGAGGAGAACGGTCACAGGGGACAAAAGCCTTTGAGTAGAATTTGATTTTCTTAAACAAAGCATGTACTACTCTGAAAAACATTAAAATGACTTTGAAAAGATAGAATTGGCTGAATAGAGTGGGATATAGGGAACATGTGGGTTAGGAGCAAGAAGAATTTGGAATTTATTAATACAGGAAATTCAAAGAAGCAAAGGTTGGCAGTGCCCACCTAACCACCATCCAAGGGGAGGAAGTCTAGGCCAGTGGACTTGAACCATTCTGGTCCAGTTGGCAAGGCCTTGGATTTTATGCTTCAGTAGAGGAGAGTTCTTACATCAGAGGTTCTTGTGATTATTGTGTGAGGTGATTTATGTAAAGGGTTTATTTGGCACAAGGCCTGGCTCAAGATATTCTGGCTGGTAGTATTATTAGTTCCTGGATCAACACTAGGATCAGCTACTATTATTTTATCATAATCGTCGTCACTACAGGAATCTCCAATCTAACAGTCACACTGAGCTCTTTATCTTCTCTGCAGATCTTCCATTTATCTCCACGTCAGTACTGGGCGACATCCTTCAGCCTTGGTCACCCATGCCCTGTCACACTGATCTTCAAAGTGCTTCTGATCCGTCACTGCCTTCCCCACTGCACCACCCACACCCTTGTCACCATTATCCCTCCCCTGACCTCTCTGGTCCTTGGCCAAACTATTTATCACACATCAGGCAGAGTGACCTTACTTAAAACCACTTTGATGGGTTCCCTTCACTCTGGAATCAAGGTGAAATTCCTTAACACGAACTCCCTAACAGGAGGGCCCTTCACACCTGCTCCTGTCTAGTACCGTGGTCTCGTTTCGTGCTATTACCCCCTTGCTCCCTGTATCCTAGTCCCACCAGTTTGCTCTATGTTCCTTGGACTCATTAAGCAACTTCTTGTCTCAAGGCCCTTGGACATGCTGTTTCTTCTTTCTGGGAAACTTTTCCCTCCCTATTCGCTTGGCTAACACTGGTACTTCATATCTCAGCCCAAGTATCACTTCTTCAGGGAGGCCTTCCTGGGTTCCTCCATAAACAGTGTGCACTTGTACTTTCCTTCACAGCATTTATTTTCATTGCAATTATATGTTACTTGTGTGGTGGTTTGTTTAGGGTCAATCTCTTTACTAGACAGTTAAGCTCTAGGAGGGCAGGGGCCATGTTGGTCTCATTCATTGAAGTTTTCCCAATGAGCCAGGCACAGAGGAGGCATTCAGTAAATATTTGTTGCCTGGATGAATGTATGAACTTAACTGATCTTGCCTGAGTCTGCTTTTCTCCCCTCTGTGGACAGGGCTCCTTGCAGGAAGGCTGTATGTGAGACTCTCCTTGGAGTGAACAGGTGTCTGACTTCCGCATCGCCCTAAGTGGTCCAGCAGGGCGGAATTCAGGAAAAGCATGCATTTCATTCATTTAAATACTATATGTTTAAATTCCTAGAATTCATGGTTTCAAAATATGAGGTTCTAATTATTCATAAGCATCAGGAAAACTCACGGCATTATGGCAATTCATAATTTTGCCGAGGCTGACTTGAGTTGCATGGTTGTGAAACTGGGGTGTGGGGGATTGATTCTCTCAGCCAGAGAATGTGAGCTCAGCCGACAGCCCAGCATCCACCTCTCAGTGGGGCCACTCTGCCCTCTACAGAAACATTTACAAGATGTGGGGCTTCAAGATATACTTCTGCCCAGGATCAAGGGTAGATACAAAAGTATTTTAACCATGTATAGAGAGTTTAGAAAGTGGGGGGTCGGAAATTCCTTAGAATCTCACCTTCTAATCTGACCCAGTGATTTCATAGAAAATTAGTTCCTTCCAGTGTGCTTTCACCATATACAGACTTTGGCAACAGACCTGGCTCTGCATTTACTTTCCTCTCAGCCTTTGTTTTCCCATCTGTGAAAGGCGGGTGGTACTCACCTTCACAGGGGTACTGGGTTAGATAAGCCAGTGCATGCACATTTACCTATGCTCCCTTCCTCTATTCCTCCATGCTAAGAGGTTCCCATAAACATAGGGCGAGCTTAGGCTCCCCAACCTCTTCCCTTCTTCCCCTGCCCTTGGAGCTGGACAACTCCGGCCGACCTCAAAACACAGTCAACAATGTCCTCAGCCCACTTGAAGAGGACAGAGATGACTAAGGAGCCCTCACAGTAAAATGCCTACTGACAAGGACACTGACCATTTCAGGGAACCATTCAGCTGTGTTCTTTGTAGTTCTTTGTAGGACTCTGTTTTCAAACTACTGGTTCTAAATATTTTTTTCTCCTTCTTAACTCCTGGTCTCCAAAGAAGCTGGAAACAATGTTAAGGATAAAATAGCATTGGAACACACCCCGTTTATTCTTGGTCAATATACACTGGTCTGAGGCCTTCCTCTCCTTTATTCAAGGCAGAAGAATATATTCTGTAATAAAAGTAGATCCCATGTCCATCTTAAATTACTATTGCCCATGACCCAGGTGTATTCCCTGGGACGCAAAACAGAAATGAACAAGAAGTCTTAAAGGTGAACTTTAAGCAAAACCGAGCTGCTTTAATATTAAACTTTCAGCTAGATCTCCAAAAGAAACAATTACATAAACCTCCATAAGGCATGGAATTTGCCTTTGGGGCTTTGTTCTGAGAAGGACACATACCTTTCTTTGAGCGTGTTAAAAAATGCACAAACCACACAATTACATGTCGTGGCCTTGACAATGCTCTCTCTTATGTTTTAGTTACAGGCGCCTGAAACAGAGAAGACCCTCCTGGCCAGATGACAGGCAGCTAACACTGACTGAGCGCTTTCTACTTTTATCTCACGCCCATTAGCAATCAGTCTTGGCAAGTTATGTATTACCATCCCCGTTCTATAGAAGGAAGAAACTGAGGTCTAGAGACATAAAGTTAGCTGCCCAATGCAGAGTAGGTGATGGAGTTGGGATTTAAACCCAGACCTTCTGTCTTAAATCCAGTGCTTTTTAAAATGTTTCTGTAACAGCTTCCTCAATTCCAGGCCCAAGAGGGTGTAAGGACCATCTTATCTTCCCAAGTGCCATTACTGAGCTAAAATCAACCTCAATATGATCATGGCAGGTAAATTATGTATATATGTATGTGTGTGTGTGTGTGTGTGTGTGTGTGTGTGTGTGTGTATATATATATGCATTTTCCCCCCTTACTGACGGAGAATAAGTTGGACATTGTACCCCTCAATACTTGAGAATGGATTTCCTAAGACCAAGGGTATTTACTTTCATAAGCCAGGATAATTATAAAAAAAAATGAAACTTAATATTAACACAATACTATTATATAATCTACTTAAAATTTACCAATTGTCCCAATAATGCACATTATAACTTCTTTTTCCCTGGTTCAGGATCCTATCCAGGATCATGTTTTACGTTTAATATTCATGTGCTTTAGTTTGTTTTTAATCTGGAACAGTTCTTCAGTCTTTCTTTGTTTTTAAGACATTGTGACTTTTGAAAGTACAGGCCAGCTACTTTGTAAAAGCCCTTCAATCTGGGTTTGTCTGATGCTTCCTTCTGATTAGATTCAGGTCATGAATTTTTGGCAAGAACACTACATAAGTGATGAGGTGTCCTTCTCAGGGTATCACATCAAGAGGCATGTCAGTTTTCTCCCCTGAAAACTTACTATCTTTCCTTATGTAATTAATAATTACATTAGTTTCCCCAGGGACCACATTAATCCTTGGCTAATCAAATCATTCTTATTTGAAGCAGCTATTCCATCATTATCCTTGTCAATATTTGCCCCCTGAGTGTTAATTAGTCTAACTTTTCCAGATCCTCACGGATCACTGGCTTTGCCTGTGACTAGAGCAGAGCCACTTACACAGACTTAAGAGTGTCTTACAACTTTTGCAAGATGTACATTTTTACTTTGCCACTGATTTGCTCTGTATTTGCATCATATTGACGGATATTTACAATGTCCGAGTCAGTGAGCAATCAACCCAACAAAGACGCTGCAGTGATAGGCCACGGAAAGATGCCAGGGCCACATCAGGTCATTACTAAATCCTTCTCATGTCAGGATGACTTTTGTTTACCTGCACAGCCTAATAACTGTGAGGACCACTGTAGTATCTGCCATAACAAAAATACTATATGAATTCTTCTGTTTCACAGCAGTGATTCCGGCTATGTCCTTCCTTGTTCCTCACAGTTACACCAAGGAACAATGGTTTACTGAAGCTAACAAATTAGAGTCCCTTATGTAACTTTAATTCATAATAATGTCCACTGTGAGACTCCCACACCATCTGGTTTGTGACCAAATGCTCCTTACCTCTTAAAACATGTTGGTAACTGGATAACAGAAACTGTAGATGCTCAACCAGTTCATCCCATGTCTGCCACTGGGTTTTATCCGACTGCAGAGATAGTAAAAGCAATTGGTAATAAATGCCTTCCTCAGTTAGAGGTTTTGTACAGTTTTCAAGTCACTTTTACATAATGTAAAAAAGTGTAAAACACTTTTACACGTTTACATAATTTACTTAATCAAGGATTAAGGAAAAGGTGTTCTAGACCTGGAACTGAAATAGGGAAAAATGTACCTGACACTTGAGCAGTGATGTGGAATTGTTCAGAAAATAGAGGGCCTGGGCCAGAGACAAGGGCAGGCGGGTGGGTGTCTCACAGCTGTGGAGGAATATGATTTCCAGCACTTTGCAGCGCAGAAGGTGGCTCTCCATGGTAGTAAAGAACATCTCTCTGTGTGGAGAAGAGATAGAGAGAGTTCACTATCACAATTATTGTTTCACGGAACATACACCACAATTCTCCCTGAATGCTCTAACCTTTGCCCTAATCCAGAGAAGGCTAAGAAGGAATACAGTGAAGGCCTACAAAATCACAAAGCTTGTGGACAGGGCAGAAATGGATTTGTTCATAAATTTGCAACTGTCAGAAAGAGGGAAAGTCTTTGATATTTGAAAAAGACTAGTTTAGGACACGTTAAGAAGAATTATATCATACTGTAACCAAGAGAATTAATCATGAGATTACATATTTCTGAATGGCCATAATGTGCCAGGTACTGTTTGGCAGAAACAAGGAATAATAAGAGAAATAAAAGAGGATATTGCTCTCAAAAAGCTGATAGTTGAACAGGGGCAAGAAGTATGCAACAGGAAACCTACATAAAGCGCAGGGCAAGTGTACACGTATGCGAGGTGCCTGTGGCGCTCTAGAGACACAGAGAAGAGAGCACATTTGATCAAGGGGCTGGAAGCAGCCTTCGTATGGAGGAGGTGGCGCTGCTGACGGTGGTCTAGGAGTAAAGAAGGCCCGAGGCAGGAGGCATTTCAGTGCAGGGTTAAGCATGGGTAAAAACAAAGAAGTAAAAGTCATAGCTGGGGCACTGCAGCCTTCTTAAATTTCAAGTCTAGGACTTAAGAGTCCCAGAGGGACTCTGGCCCTTGACTTTGTCACTCTGTGCAGGGCAGGGCTTGGCCAGCGAGGGTGGGTTGGAGCACATTCAGAGGCTTCTGAGCGGGATAGCTGTAAAACGGGGGCTGTGCTTCAGAAAGGTGAATCAAACTCATTGTTCTAAAAGCAATGTCAGCTTCCAAAAAAAAAAAAGTTATGAATCTCAGATGCACAGGGTGAATCTCTGGACTGCCTGAAGGTTTTTGCCTGAAGGTTTGTTTGGTGGTTCTTGCCAGGTCTGCTTGTCATAGCAGTTCTGAGGAATAGACGGCTCATGAGCAGATAAGGAGATGGCAGCAACAGAGCTAGCTCTAGATCTCAGAGTTCTTTCTTCTACAACTGCCCCTTTGCAGTTTTGCAACATCTGGAAAAATAGGGTGCTCTTTTTGCCACTGTCACTTATAAAAATGATAAATAACAAAGTATCTATTCATTTTTATTTTCTTTTTTCCCCTTTCCCGTTGCTGTTCCACCAGGCACAGGTATTATTTGTGTAAAAGCAAGGGTAAAAAAGCAGAATAAATACTTTAAAACCTCTGCTTCTTACCATTCAAAAGTTTTAAAAAGTCTGTAATATTTGTGAAAATCCATTTTATCTCTCTTTTTAAAAAAAATATATTTATTTATTTATGGTTGTGTTGGGTCTTCGTTGCTGCACGCGAGCTTTCTCTAGTTGCGGCGAGCGTAGGCTACTCTTCTTTGCGGTGCGCGGGCTTTTCATCGCGGTGGCTTCTCTTGCTGCAGAGCACGGGCTCTGGGCACACGGGCTTCAGTAGTTGTAGCACGTGGGCTTCAGCAGTTGTGGCACGCAGGCTCAGTAGTTGTGGCTCACGGGCTGTAGAGCGCAGCCTCAGTAGTTGTGGCACATGGGCTTAGTTGTTCTGTGGCATGTGGGATCTTCCCGGACCGGGGCTCGAACCCGTGTCCCCTGCATTGGCAGGTGGATTCTTAACCACTGCGCCACCAGGGAAGCCCCATTTTATCTCTTTAATGTGTGGTTTTTTTTTAAGTACGATTCTATACCTCCTCTGACAAATTTTCTTTTTTAATACAAAGGACTCCAAATTATTACATCTATAAGATATTCCCCCAATTCTTTTAAAGTTTAATTTCTACTCTGTATTTGGCCTATTACTTTCACAAGACAGTTTTCCTTTTTAATAACTTTTTATTTCAAACTGTATTTTCTCTTCCAATTTTTATTCCAGGGCCTGCATTTGTCCTGGTTTTATAACCCAAAATGGCAAACCCAGAAATATCCAAGGGACAAGAAAGTAATTTTAATGTATTGGACATAGTAGGAAATCGAGGTACAATTATCTATAGCAATTCAAATTCAAAATTTAAAAACAAGATACAGAGGAAGGCTAACATCCAGATCCAGCCTTAGCAAGTATAGCTGGTATTGGATTTACTCTCCTGTTATCAATAATTATAAACCTGTACAAAATATATGAAATAACTATTTTCAGGCATTGGACAAGCTACTACAAATGACTATTATTCTTGAGAGAAGGGAAACAAAGGTGGTGAACCCCATGTTTACCCCAGATTTCTTGCTGGGGGCACTTTCTAACTAAGGCAGAGGAAAGCGTGGGTCCCAAACAGAAAGCAGTGGGCTTGCTGGGCAGAGCAAACAGAGACTGGAGCTCAGTAGAGCTGAGGTGGCTGGAATTTGTGTCAAAGAAGAGGGAGCTCAAGAAATATGTGTAAGGGGCCCCCTTGGCACACGGACAGGGAGAAGATCCAAAAGCCTGGGAGAGAACAGCTAGTGAGGAGCTATAAGCTGACTGGGAATTCGGGAGAGTACCCAGTGCTGAAAGACATGGGGTTTCAATGAGCTAGAGGAGAGATCTCATTGAACATGTTGGGCATTCAGGTGCAACCCCAGAAAGACTAAGCTACAAGACTAGTATCTTAAGAAGGGTTGATTTAGAACACCCTTACAAATCCTAGAAACAAGGCTTAAAAGGAGAAAGCTAATCTGCCAGTAAATCACTGTCTGCAAGAATGAAACTCAATACTCTTTAAAGGAAGTCAGCAAATTTCAGACTCTCAACAATGTGGCATTCATAATGTTCAGCACACAATAAAAAATTATTAGACAGGGGAAAAAGCAGGAAAATGTGATTCATAACCAGGAGCAAAATGTCCATAGAAACAGGCTAAGAGTTGATACAGATGTTGGAATTAGTAGACAAGGACTTTAGAACAGCTATTATAAATATGTTCAAAATTAACCAACCAACCAACCAACCAGCCGACCAACTAACCAAGAATATATATAATCAGTGATTAGATGGGGACACTTAGCAGAGAGAAATGGACACTATAACAATGAACCAAATGGAGACTCTAGAGCTGAAAAACACAATACCTGAAAAAAAAAATCACTGGATAGGCTTAACAACAATTGGGCACCACAAAAGAAAAGATCAGGGAGCATGAAGACTATCCAAAGTGAAAAAGAGAAAAAAAAAGACAAGTCAAAACAAAATAAAACAAAACAACAACAGTAGAAAACACCAGATCCTCAGTGTTCTGTGGAACAGTGTCATACAGCTTAATGTATATGTACTTGAATTCCCAGAAGATGAAAGTTTGGGGCAAAAAATAATGGCCAAGATATTTCAAAAATTGATCAAAAATATCAACTCACAGATTCCAGAATCTCAATAAACCCCAAGCAGGATAAACATAAAGGAAACCACACCTAGTTATAATAATCAAATTGCTGAAAACAAAAAAAAGCAGCCAGAGAAAAAAGACACATGGCATATAAGGGAACAAAAGTAAGAAATTCTAATGACTTCTCATCAGCAAGCCAGAAGAAAATGGAACATCTTTAAAATAAATTAAAAATACCTATCAATCTAGAACTCATATCAAGTAAAAACACCATTCATATATGAAGGTAAAATAAAAACATTTCCAGATAAACAAAAGCTGAGAGAATTCACTACGGTAGACCTGCACTACAAAAAATGTTAAAAGAGGTTAAGTTCTTTAGGTGGAAGAGAAATGATACCAAATGGAACTTGGATCTTCAACAAAGAAAGAAGAGCACCCAAAATGGTAGCTATGTGGATCTGATGTGTGTTTTATTTCAGCACCACTAAGCAATTAACTCAATTCTGACACTATTTACCATAGTGTCAGATCCCACAGGTTAAGGGCTCAATCCTACAAGACTGCCCTCCCACTCTCTCTTCAGGTGCCAATTGGAAAGTCCAGGTTGTTGACCTGTGTGCTTCTGAACCACTTAGCTATAGATCGAAGGTTCCCAGAAACCCATCTTAGGTTTGATTAATTTGTTACAGTGGCACACAGAACTCAGAGAAACACTTTACTTACTAGATTACCAGTTTATTATAAAAGGATATAACTCAAGAACAGCCAAATGGGAGAGATGCATAAGGTATGGGGAAAGGGTGAGGCCCTTCCATGCTCTCTGGGTACATCACTCTACAGGCATCTCCACCTGTTTACCAACCTGGAAGCTCTCTGAACCCAGGCCTTTTGGGTTTTCAAGGAAGCTGCATTAGATAGGCATGACTGATTAAATCATTGGCCATTGGTAACTGAACTCAACCTCCAGCCCCTGCCCATTCCCAAGACGTGGGGGTGGGGTGGGGGGAGGGCTGGGAGTGGAGGGTTGGAGTCCCAACTCTCTAATTACATGGTTCCCCTGGCAACCAGCTCCTATCCGTAGGTCACCAAATGCTTTCTGAAAGACCCCTCACTAACATAACAAAGATAACTTGATCACTCTTATCACTTATAAAACTCCAAAAGAGCTCTGTGCCAGGAACAGGATGAAGATCAAATATATATATTTCTTATTATAGGTCATAATATCACAGTTAGGTAGTATAAAGACTTTCCGTCCCATATCTCTGAAATTTTTTTAAAAACAACTAAATGTTTAAAGCAAAAATATGATCCCATCCTGGAGTAAAATGTATGACAACAATAGCACAGAGGATGGGAGTGGGGTAAATGGAAATACACAGTTATAAGGTTCTTACATTACATGTTATGATATAATATTAATTCAAGGCAGACTCTAGTAAGTTAAGAATGCATATTGTAATTCCAAGAGCAACCATTAAAAAAAGTAAAACATTTGCTGAAAAAGCATGTGATAAAATTCAATACCTGCTCATGATAAAAACTGAGAAAACTAGGAATAGAAGGGAACTTCTTCAACTTATTAATGAATATCTACAAAAAAACTTATAGCTGGCATAATAATTAATGGTGAACTCATATATATATATTTT